CCTGTCTCCTTGGAGACCCTCTGGGCCGCCCCGCGGTCCCTGGGGATGGCCACAGCGCGCGGCACTCTGTCGGGCCCGGTGTCTTGCTGGGCTGTTTCCTGTGCACAGATGCAGGTGCCCCGGCACCAGGGCCTGCAGGTGTCGAGGAGCCTCTTGGTGGGGAGCTGCGTCCTGCTTTCGCTGTGGCTGGCCGCCAGCTGCCTGGGGGGCGCCAGTCTCCCTGCATGGGGGTGCCAGACTCCCGGCCCATGTCTCCCCCAGGAGCAAGGTTTGCTGTTGGGGTTAGTGGGAGACAACCGATGCTCAGGGGCACCCGGTGACTCTTGCCCTCACAACGCACCATCCGTCTGGAAAGGCCCAGAACCTCGGGGCTCCCACGCCCTGGCTCCCAACATCCTACAGGGCACAGAAAGTGTGCCTCAGGCTAAGTGGAGCCACCGGCTGTCTGGACAGGCCTGGGCTGGAAAGGAAGCAGCTTGGCAGGGGCCCGTCTGCCGGCCGTGTGGGCAGAGCGCAAGCCCATCAGGAGGCTGCCACCCTTAATGCAAAGCACAGGGCAGGAAACGCCCCTGCAACTCACCGCCCGGCCCACCGCGGCCCCTAACCCGTGCAGAAGTTCTTAGGGCAGCGTGACCCCAGCAGCGGGCTGGAGAGACGCGCGCGGGGCCCTGGTCGGGCTGAGGGGGGAGGAGGGGTCACTAGACAACTAGGAGCGGACAGGGGCCCGCTGTGACGGAGACGCGGGGGCAGCTGGAAGGCCGCGGGGCCCAGGCCTACAGCGGGCCTCCCCGTTCCAGGAGAGAGGTGCCAGGGCGCAAGGGGCAGGAGCCAGTCCCGACTCCACCCAGGGCGCGGCAACTGTGGGGCCCTTTCCTGCTGTGCGGCACACACTCCCCCCACCGCCACCCCCGCCCCAGGCCACACACACCTAGACACGCACACCCCTCGCGGGGACGTCCAGGAGGGGACAGAGGGCAGTGGCGGCAACCTGGCCAGACAGTGGGGGCACCGCCCTTGGAGGGGCAGCTGCAAGGGCACTGAGGGCCAGCCCAGGGGCCTGCCAGCCTCCGGTGACTGGGCGCTGTCCCAGAGGATGGGGATGTGCTCAGGTCCGAGAGGCGGGCACTGTACCCGGGCTCCCGGCCCCGCACGCCCATCTGAGGGCTCTGTGGAAGTCTCCTGGGCAGCACGTGAAGGCCTGGTGTTTGCAAGGAGCCGAACCCAGGAGGCTTGGGGAGCTGGTGACCTCGGAGCTCCCGGCTCCTTCTCGCTGCTTCCAGCAGGTCCCCGGGGTTGGAGAAGTGGCAGTGGGCCAGGGCGAGACTCGGGTTATAAACATGGCCCTGGGCTTGGGTTTCTTGGGGGATGACTGTTTCTGAAATAACCATTAGGAACACTTCCCTTTACTGGACACGGAACAATCGTCAGACTTGTTATTTCTATTAACGAAACTGCGCTGACCGCTGAGGCCGATGCTGGAGTGAAGCCGGGAGCTCTCGGCCCCGCAGGCCCGCCTGGGCCCTGCACAGCATCAGCTCGTTTGGGGAATGGGGACAGCATGGACGCAACAGCGGGGGCAGCGAAGGGCCGGAGACAGACCCGCAGGAGGGCTTGGGGGCAGCCCGGGCCAGCACTCAGCAAGCAGAGACGCGCCTCGGCCACGGGCGACCACGCGGCTGGGGGCTGCTGGTGCGAGGGGCCGGGGCCCTCCGGTTCTGCCGCCAGGGCCCCAGGCTGCACCTGCACAGTCCTCCCGGGGCGTCCAGGCCACGAGCCAGTGCCCTCTGTCCCTTTACCCTCGGCGGCTGGTGTAGCCCGGCGCCGTGTTTCCTCAGAGGCGAGGCAAGAACGAGGGGCATGAAAATAGGGGCCACGTGGAACTCAAGCCCCCGCGTGCATCTGGATTTCAAGTAAACAGCGCTGCTTTGTATCTGGCACCCCAGTGAGGCCCGGGTGTTCTTGCCGATCCCACACTGCTTGTTCATTATCTGGAATACAGATTCCGGGCGCGGCTGAGGCCCGGACGGCACCTGCCGGCGGCAGCGCCCAGCAGGCCCGGGGCGGCACGTCCCGCTTCCCAGCCTGCTCCGGGCTGGGTCTGTCGCTGGCCACCAACGCGGCCTGGGTTAAAACAGCGCTCGAGGTCCGGGCTCAGGCACAAGGCGGCAGGTGGCCTGGTCGGGGGCTGGAAAGCCAGTGTGGCCGGGCGGAAGCCCTGCGGGGGGCGCGGGCCTGGCACGGTTTCCAGGACCCCCGCTTTTCCTTGAGGTGCCGCTTCCCAGGCAGCCGCCTGCGTGCGTGTGGCCGGCGTCCCCTCCTGGCCTCGGCAGGCTCCACGTAAGAGAGAGCAGGTCCAGCGTGGCCACGGCCAGGCCGAGAGCCCCTTCTCCCAGACGCGGCGACCCCACGCGCCCCCGGAGGAAGACAGGAGGCGCTTCTGACAAAACAATTTATTGTTTAAAAAATAAATATTGTATCTGACGTACAAAAAGCATTTTAAAAACAGTTCTGAGGCATCTTGTGGCCTGTGCTCCTGTGAAAACGGGGTGTTTCCCCCGCTGGCCCTGCTCCTGGGGTGCCGGTGAGGCGTGGTCTCCCCTCTGCTGCCGGCGCCGGCCCTGGCCACATCCTCCCTGCCTCACGCCCGTGGCCCTCCGCGCCCTGGCGGGCAGCGGCCCCGCACTGTGCCAGCGGGGTCCTTGAAGGGCGGGGCAGGCGCTGCGGAGCCGGGTCACAGCCGGCCGGGCGGTGGGCGCATCTGCCCTTGGAGGTTTTATTAATGACCCTTCTAGACTTCCGTGGGGGCCAGCTAAGGACCAGGACCCCTGCCCCCAGGCTCCCCGAACCCAAGGCCGGTCCTCCCACGCCAGCGCCAGCGGGCAGGGACACGGGCCGGTGAAGGTGAGCTGAATCAGGGAGCGCGGGAGCCGGGAGCACAGTTTGCTCTCCCCTCTGTCCGAGGCCCACACGCCCCCACCTGCAGTCCCCAGGGCCGGCAGGGAGGCCACGCTGGCCATGTCCCAAGTCCCTCCTCCAGTTTCCGCTGTCTGTCTTGGGCTGAGGACCGGCCAGAGGCACTGATGAGGGGGCGCGGGGTCCTCCGAGTCCTGGCCGGTCCCCCCTCGGGCTGCAAGTCAGGCCGGGGAGCACGGCCCAGATGTGGCTTGGCTGTCCAGGTGACACCTGCCCCACACGCCTCCCGGCCCGCTGACCTGTCCCACTCGCCCTCCGGTGAAGGCCGGGAAGAGAGGACAGGTCAGCCCAGCCAACGACTCCTGGTTGGTCAGTGGCGCCCGATGTCGGGCAGCCCTCTCAAGGCCCTGGCGGCCTCTGGAGGCCTTTGAGGCCACGTCCAACCCGCCTCACGTGCCCTCTGGCCTTTCCTGCACCCAGGAAGAGACCGGACTCTACCCCAGACGCCGCCGGGGCTTCCCTGCAGTGGACGAGGGAGCAGGCCCTCCTGCCTCAGGTGAAAATAGAGCTGCTGACTGTCGCCGGTGGGGGCAGCTCACGCCAGGCTGCGCCCGCCCCGAAGTGTGGGGAAAGCAGCTGTCCCAAAGCCCAGTGGAGGGAAATCACCCATGAAGCTCTGTGCCGCTTCTGTCTTCCCCGGGGCAGGCCCCAGCACCCTGAGCAAGCAGGTCTGGGAGGAGCAAAGCAAAGCGAGAGGGAACCCCCGAGGCAGAGGGACATCCTCAGCCCCCAGCCCCGGGCTGCTAGAGGGGGCAGACGGGGGGGGGGGGTGCGGTCTGTAGGGGAGCCCGGGCCTGGAAGACCCGCAGATGAGAATGACCTGTACCTGCGGTGGGCAAAACCTCAGTGACCGGACTCAGAATCAGAGTCCGGCCCCGGCCCCCGGAAAGCCCCCCACTCTCCCCACAAGCAGTCAGCGTGGCCTGGACATGCTTGCTGGACACGGCATTTCACAAGCACACGAGCTTCCTCTCCCCGCTGGGGAGGGCTGCACGCTCGGGCTGGGAGGGTGCACGGCAGGGTGGCTGGGGCGCACCACGAGGACCCCAACGCCCTGTTGCCCCACCCAGCTGGCCTAGAGCAGCGGCCTGAGTCATCAGACCGAGTTCAGTTTCAAAATCCGCAGTGCTAGGGGTCGCCCCGTCCACAGTGAAGGAAGAAAGCAGACCCCACCGTGTGCCCAGCGCTCCTGGGCGCCCGTGTGGCTCCCGAGGGGCGTCCTCACCGGCCCACCACCCCTTCTGCCCAGCGGGCAGGGGGAGCGCAGCTGGCCAGGGGGAGCGCAG